CACGTTCTCGCGTCGAAACCCTGTATGGACTCTGACGGAGTGGTCTGGCATTTTTTTCGGTTATGATGCGATGTTTCGGGATTGGGGTCTGCCGAATTTTCGATGACGACGAAAAGCAATCTTCTTATTGAAGGAGCAGGGCCTTGAGCTGTTCTTGCTTATCGTTCGGAAGTCTGGGATTGACGTCGAAAGCTATGGGAGGGGCTTGGTTCCTCTGAGCAGGTTCCGCAGAATCGGCGAGGGCGAAAGCACTGGTGGCTTCGACAATTTCTTCGATGTATGCGACCGTTGTTGCTTTGTTCACGTGTTTGTACTCATTGCTGAAATTCGTGAGCATAACCTTTGCTTTGCCTCCCCGCAGCTCTGCAATTCCTCATGCGACGCAATTATTTCGGGGGACCAACAGATGCTGACTGTCTCCAACGACGCCTTTCAAGTCAGGTGATTTAGGAGCGTCGACTGAAATAATGACGCTTGAGCGAGGTGGAATGGTGACTTGTTCTTCCAGCACATTCAAGGCATGGTAGCCTGACGACGTGCGCGGTGGTAGTGCTTCTTCTGTGGATAGCGTTATCGACTTTGTTTTTAGGTTGATGACAGCACCATGGAGGCATAAGAAGACCATGCCAAGGATGACATCTCTCGAGCAACGCTGTAGGACTACGAAGTCTGTAGGATAAATACGGCCGTTAATGGTGACTCTCGCTGTGCAGATTCCTGCAGGCATTACGAGATGACCTCCGGCTGTGCGTATTTCAGGGCCTTTCCAAGCTGGCCGAACTTTCTTTGACTTCGCGGCGAACGACCCACTGATGACAGAATAGTCGGCTCCAGTGTCGACGAGAGCGATCACACTGTGGCCGTCGATAAGAACGTCGAGGTCGCTAGTTCGCCGTATCGCATTACAGTTAGGGCGTGGCGTCGGGTCATGGCTGCGTCGGCTTGTTCCGCTGCTTCCATGTGGCTCGTCAGGTCACCTTCGGTAAGTGAGGTTTCATCGTCAAGGCTTTGCCTGGTTGGCGTTGTGTTCGGAAAGCTCCGTCGCGGCATCATTGTCGTCGGAGGATCTTCGGTAGTTCGTCGCAGAGCAACCGCACCTCCATCGGTTGCTGCCCTTAGTTTTCTGGATACGGGCTAAGAGACCGGCCCCACGTTGGCCAGAGTACTGCCAATGGTGCGGTGACGTGCGGCGGCTGGGCGACGGCGAACGCGAAGGGGTTCGTGGTGTCCACAGAGTTCCATTCAGGTAGTCGGCTATGTCACGTGGTCGTTCTCCTGGCTGTGGACGCGGTGCATTGACGGCGAAGCCACGCAGTCCCATCTGTCGGTACTGGCAATGGCGGTATGTGCGTCCGGCCTCGCCTCGCCGCAGCGGTAGCAGAGCGGGCGATAGTCAGGGGTGCGCCAGACGTCAGTCTTCCTCGGTGCACTGCGCTGGGCCGCTGGCGAACGGTATGACGTCGGTAGGGGTGGTGGCGGCGGTGGCGTCTGTCGACAGAAGTGTGATGGGGCGGCGTTTTGGCGTGGACGGGGAGGAGCGTTGTGGCGCAGTGCAGCGGCGTAGCTCATAGCTTCCGGCTCGGGCAGCGGTGCATGGGGAATTTGAAGCGATTGCCGAACTTCTTCTCGCACAATGTCGGTGATTGAATCCACTTGAGGCTGCGCCGAAGGCAACAGCTTGCGCAGCTCTTCCCGCACGATCGCTCGGATCGTTTCACGCAGGTCTTCGGAGTCACTGGCTTGAGCAGCAGCGCAGTCTGCAGTCAGGCGACGATTATACTGTCTGGTGCGCATGTCCAGGGTCTTTTCGATAGTGGTCGCTTCGGCTACAAATTCTTGGACGGTTTTTGGTGGGTTTCTCATCAGTCCCGCGAAGAGCTCCTGTTTGACCCCTGGCATGAGGAAACGAACTTTTTTCTCCTCAGGCATGTCTGGGTCAGCGTGACGGAATAGTCGGGTCATTTCTTCTGTGAAAATGGTGACATTTTCATTTGGTAGCTGAAGCCAGGTCTCTAATAAAGCAGCGGCCCTCTCTTTGCGAGCGATGCTCGCGAACGTTTGCAGGAATGCGCCGCAGAAAACATCCCCCGTTCGGAGTGGGACTCCCGATTTTCGAGCCAGGTCCTTGCGGTGTCTTCCAAATAGAAGAACACACGACGCAGCTTTTCGTCATAGTCCCAGTGGTTGAGGGCAGCCACACGGTCGTATGTTTCTAGCCAGGACTCCGGGTCTTCGAACGATGACCCATGGAAAATTGGTGGTTCCCTGGGTTGATGCATGACCATTCTGGGCTGGGACGCTGCGGTTGTCATTGTCGCTGCAGTCGCGGTCATGGGCTTGGTCTTCCGCGCTTTGTCTTGTAGAAGCCTGTACTCCGGTGGTAGCCCTTGTTGTCGGCGGCTTGTTCGCTGCTCCTGGTTTGTGTCGGTGTCTTCTCCGCGACGTGGGCTGGGTTCACGGCTTGACGGGGGCGTCCGGTACATGAACGAAGCAGCACCTCCACCAGATGTCACGGGGTCGTGACGTGGCCGAAGACAGGAGACTTCGTGTTGGGATTTAACTGTTTATTTGGGCGAACCTGTGCCCGGTAAACGGAAAGTTCGATTACAGTAGCAGTCTTGCGCAGATAGCAGTGAACGGAGCGTCGGCCGTCGATCAACTACGACTGACAAGCGGCAAAGCGCGTCGGCATTTATAATCTTGCCGTCAAATGTTCTAGCATTATCGCTGGCGGTGGCGTAGTTTCTAGAACAATCTGTACCGTTCGCACAGTGGGCGTGATTTTATCGAAATGATCTACTACAGTCCGGAACCTTCTCGAAAACTGCAGGCGCGGTTTGCGCTGAGAATCGTGTGGTGTTTTGGGACGATAACAAAAACTTAGGAAATGGAAGTGGCAATACAAACAAGCTTAAAGGGACAAACATTTTCATTCAATATGACTACAGTCATGAAACACTGAGTGTGCGCAAGCTTCTTTGGGATAGCGCCAAAGTTGACCGAGTCAATAAGAAGCGCGTATCTCTTTTGCATGATAAGTTGAAAATTGATGACACATCTTTGTATGGGACGATACCAGAAATGAACGGGTAGCACTTCCAAAGCAGCGGGACGCCACTCGTTGACGTACAACGCGTACAGAGGCAAAATATATAAGGATACTAAATTTTATTGCTCGGAGCCTTGTAAATAAAATTGGCGAACTTGAACTGTTGCTTCCTGAACATGATCCACACATAAAAGTAATCACGGAAACATGGTTAAATGACAACATTTGTAATTCGTATTAATACCGCCAAACTATGGCGATAGTTATAGCGCGAGAACAAAACGACGACACAGAGACAAGAAGGACACTGTGTCGTCGTTTTGTTCTCGCGCTATAACTATCGTCATGCTATACCAACTAGCCCAAGCTGCCACACTGCCAAACTATAGCATTTTCTGTTGTGATCGGCCAAGTAGGGGCGGCGGTGTCGCCATTGTTTTACGGCATGTATTGACAGGTGTTGTTATAAACCAAATCGATGGTCATGAAAGTTAGTTCCTCAGAGTAAATAGCTGGGGCCATATCTTTATCGTGTGTGCTGTGTATAGGCCTCCATCAGCTTCCGCTGAATACATTTCCAAACTGTGGGATCATATGGCTGAGTTTTCGAAGAACAGGGTAATACTCGCCGGTGATTTTAATATTCCGTGCATTGATTGGCGTGATCCCGTTTCCTTTTTCGATGTGGACATAAACCCTTTGTGGATATTATGATTATGTGTGATCTAAAACAAACTGTTACCGAGTACACCAGAGCAGCGGGAAGTGCCCGTTCGGTAATAGATTTAATTTTTATTTGTAATGATATTTCTACATACTCTGTGGACGTGGTTGATGGTGTGTCGGACCACAAGGCGGTGTACCTTTCCTTTCCGCTTGGTGATGCCAAGTTGCACAAAAAACAAGGAAAAAAGTTAAAAGATTTCGCTAAAGCCGATGACCATGCTATACTTGACTGTTTGTGGGAATTTCGCGATAACATGACGGGCTGCGTGACAACTCTCTGGGATGCTCTGAAAGAAACTATTCATTATTGCATTAAAAAATTTGTCCCCTCCAAATATATGTTCGCACTAACAAAAATAACCCGTGGATTACAAGAGAAATCATTCATTTACACCGTAGGCTAAAACGAGCCAAAAAACATAAAAAACCAGTTAGTGAGATATCTATAATAAAAGTCAACCTTGCTTCCAAACTCTCCGACGCAAAAATGAGGTATTTCACTCATTCGTTTCCTGAATTATTGACAAAAAGCACTGAAAAATTCTGGCGATGTTTAGAACAAACGGATGCTACGCCCAGTCAAATAACTGTTGATGGTTCGATTGTAAATGATGCGTCGGTTGTCGCTGATCAGTTTAACAGATACTTCTGCTTCTTATTTTCTGCACCCCACCATTAATCACCACATGACAACCTTCTTCCAGTAATGTCTTCCGAGTTCATAACTTATGAGGGTATATTTTCTTTGCTGCTCAACCTGAAAAATAAATGTTCAGCTGGTCCAGATAATATCTCTAACACATTCTTGCGTAAGTATGCCGAACCCGTTGCGCACATTTTAACAAACGTTTTTCGCCTCTCCTTCGAAAATTCCTTCATTCCTGATGACTGGCGCATGGCACGTGTAGTACCGGTGTTTAAGAAAGGGGATCGTTTAAACATTGCAAACTACAGGCCTATTTCCTTAACGTGTACGTCATGTAAGTTATTATAACACATGTCGCACATTACATCACAACATTTCTTGAAGAAAACCGCCTGGTGTCGCCATTTCAGCATGGATTTAGGAAAAAATTATCGACCACAACGCAGCTAGTTACAACAATTCATGAGTTTATGTCGTCGCTTGATACGGGGAATCAAATTGATGCTATTTTTTTAGATTTTTGTAAAGCCTTCGATCTTGTCACACATAGCAAACTTATTTCTATATTACATATTCTAGGTCTACCTGTTAACCTCATTGACTGGATCCGGTCTTACCTTCACAATCGCAAGCAGTATGTTAAAGTAAATGACTGCATCTCTGGTATTCTACCAGTATCATCCGGAGTTCCTCAAGGTAGTGTTTTGGGACCTATTCTATTTCTAGTGTATATAAATGACATTGTTAAATCAGTAGACACATCACAAGTTCACATAAAGCTTTTTTGCAGATGACTGCATACTTTATAAAACGATTACTGCCCCGAATGACCAGAAACGCCTGCGATCCAACCTTTGTGCCATTTATAAGTGGTGTGAAGATTGGTCAATGAAATTAAATAGCGATAAATCAGTTGTCATGCATATAACGAATAAGAAACACCATTTTAATTATACATATTCTCTCAACAACTGTCCATTGACTGAAGTTAATGAATATAAATGTTTGGGCGTCACAATTACAAGCCACCTAACATGGTCAAGCCTCATTAATAAAACATATTTGCAAAATGTTTCAGTGCGCGAACAAAGGAAAAAGGACAGGGTAGACAGAAAGAGAAAGTGTGTAAGCACATCATCAATCGCTTTATTACAGGCTGGACGTGATTACCTCGCTGGGCTTTGAGGCAATAGAGGACGTCACACGTGTTTTGTTACTGATGTGTAGATTAGGCTTGCATTTTACCTTCATGCTCTGTTATCATCCTTTTTGACCAGAAACACCTGCAATCCAACCTTTGTGCCATTTATAAGTGGTGTGAAGATTGGTCAATGAAATTAAATAGCGATAAATCAGTTGTCGTGCATATAACGAATAAGAAACACCATATTAATTATACATATTCTCTCAACAACTGTCCATTGACTGAAGTTAATGAATATAAATGTTTGGGCATCACAATTACAAGCCACCCTAACATGGTCAAGCCTCATTAATAAAACATATTTGCAAAATGTTTCAGTGCGCGAACAAAGGAAAAAGGACAGGGTAGACAGAAAGAGAAAGTGTGTAAGCACATCATCGATTGCTTTATTACAGGCTGGACGTGATTACCTCGCTGGGCTTTGAGGCAATAGAGGACGTCACACGTGTTTTGTTACTGATGTGTAGATTAGGCTTGCATTTTACCTTCATGCTCTGTTATCATCTTTTTTAGCGGTATATATTCTTGCCATTCTGTGAAAGTTACTTGGAAGTCAGCGCTCTTTCTGTTTACCCTGTCCTTTTTCCTTTGTTTGCGCACTGAAACATCTTGCAAATATGACTACGCACCAACCAACCCAAGCTTCCACTCTTGTAATAAAACATGCTCATCTGCTTCTAGAAAGCTCGGTTTTTTGAGGCATAATTTAAAAACAGCGCCGTCAGAAATCAAAATGTAGGCCTACAATGCTTTTATAAGACCAAAGTTAGATTATGCTAGTGTCGTTTGGGACCCACATATAAAGAAAGATGCTAAGAAGCTTGAGATGGTGCAGCGAAAGGTGGTTCGCTTTATCTTTAATGCCTACCACAGAAATGACTCGCCAACAACGATCATGGCCATTAATGATATTCCTTCTTTACAATACCGAAGAGCTGTTGCCCGGCTGAAATTTCTACACTAACTTTATTTCCGTAAATTTAACATTTGTCAAGAAACTTATATAAGAAATCGAATCTCAAGACAAACTCGACATACTCACAGTTACACTCTTGAACCTTACTTCGCACAAACTAATCTTTTCATGAACTCGTTCTTTCCTCGGACGATCAATGATTGGAACGCGTTACCTTTTGAAGCATTCTGTGATAATGAAAATCCTGACTTCGATAACTATGTATCTTTCCATTTTTAACCGTACAACTCAAGATCTCAGACTGTCTCACGTTGTATTTGATTTTCATTCTCCGGTTGCAATTTGCAATTTCTTGCTGCCATTTAACTTTGTTCAAATCTTATCCTGTGTTCTACTGCCTTAACATGTTTTTATTGCTTGAACTTTCTTTTTATTTAAGCTACGTTGTGAATCACTTTTTATTATGCCTTCTGCTTGGTCTTTCGACCACAGTATTCTGTAAATAAATAAAATTGTAATAAAATAACTCATTTGACGCTGCTCGCGACCAAGATCAGCTGCTGCTGAAAAGGCCTGGCTAAGTTCTTCACGAACGACTGCGGCAACGGCGGTCACTGGTGTATCCAGTGGAGGAGTCCAAAGCTTCTGAATTTCTTCTCGGACAATATCTGTGATCAGGTCATGTAGGGAGCCCTGATTGTCCTGAGTCACTGAAGCGGCGTTGATTGGGGTGGTAGTGGACGAGCGATCATACTGCCTTGATCTTTGGTGCAGAGCACGCTCAAGTGCAGTGGCTTCTCTTATAAAATCGGCCACGGTAGTGGGGCATTACGCACAAGTCCGGCGAAGAGTTGTTCCTTCACGCCGCGCATAAGGTAGCGCAACTTCTCCTCCTCACACATTGCGATCAGCCCGACGACATAGGCGCGTCACGTCTTCAGCAAACACTGCCACAGTTTCGTTAGGTTTTTGAAGTCTTAACTTGAGCAACTGCTGAGCCTGCTCTCGAGGGTCGATGCTAAGAATGGTGTCAATCAGCTGCTGACGAAACTCATCCCATGTCGATATATGGCCTTCTCGATGCTCAAGCCATGTGTGAGCGCTGTCATTGAGAGTGAAGTGCATGCAGGCGAGCTTCTGTTGAGCATTCTACTGGTTTATGTCGGCAACGCCTTCGTAATGCTCAAGCCAATCTTCAACATCTTCGTGTGGGGCACCTAGGTTCGATTCCTGCTCGTGGATAGTTATTTGCCCCGCCGCGGTGGTCTAGTGGCTAAGGTACTCGGCTGTTGACCTGCAGGTCGCGGGTTTGAATCCCGGCTGCGGTGCCTGCATTTCCGATGGAGGCGGAAATGTTGTAGGCCCGTGTGCTCAGATATGGGTGCACGTTAAAGAACCCCAGGTGGTCGAAATTTCCAGAGCCCTCCACTGCGGTGTCTCTCATAATCATATGGTGGTTTTGGGACGTTAAACCCCACAAATCAATCAATCAATTGTGTGGGGCACCACTGAAGCGATCAGATACAAGTGGCTAAAGAAGTGTTATCTGGGCTGGATTGGAAACGGGGCTGCTTTGTATTCCTTGGACCACCTGTGGCTGGCTGGCGGAGGCCATTGGCAGCGGTACGAAATGCCTGGTAGAATGTTTGTCCAAAAAGGTCAGCTCAGGAGAGAGGCCTAGCAACTGCCGACTGACGTGGTACGCTGGTGTCGTAACAGGTGGCTGCATGTCGGGACTTGATGAACGGCTCCCAGATGAACGACAAAACACGCTTAACAGGAATGTGAGAACACACAGGTTTACAACGGGAAATGGCGTCTGCTCCTTCAGAGGTAATTAGGTAATTCTGTCTTCCTCACCTTCAGTCGCACGACGTGCCACCTGACAAACAACAGTCAGGATTTGTCTTCTCTCTTTGAAGCCCGAACTTCGGCCCCAACTCTAGGACTTGAATGACGTCATCAGGAAGCTGGAGGTCTTCAGGAACATGAACCTTTCCCTTGGCCATCGGTCGAACACTGGTGATTCGCTCGCGAAGATAGTGTAGCTGAGGCATCCAAAGAGCTTCGGTAGCTTGCCTAGCCAATTGCAGGTACCTTTTCAGCAGAGATCCAGCGACAGATGAATCAAAGGAAGTATGAAGAAGTGCACGAAGACGAATCCTGTGCAAGCAAACGTGGCGATACAATTCAGCGCGTAAAATCATGAGAATCCTCCTTGTATGGCCAAAGGAAGGCGAAAAGCCCACGCAAAGTGCGAGGACTTCATTCGGAATAATACCTTTGCGGATGCAGAAACTGAGCATACGCGCCCTGCACGTCGCATTTGACGATGAAGGCTACAATAAAGCTTGGGTCTTGAACAAATAAAAAGTGGCCCGTTGTACGAGAAATGTAGTCGACAAGAGTGGCGATGTGGGCTTGTTGGTGAAACATTTGAAAGAAATTTATGTAGCGCGAGGCGAAAAAACGAACACAGGAAAGAATAGAGTGAGAGGACATAGTGATACTAGCAACAACATGTTTATTTAAAAAAAAAATGGAGAAAAGCCGGTAGTGTGCAAGGAGCAGTCGTATTATAAGCGAATGTCACGAAGGGTAAAATTGCATCTTAGTTCAAGTGGCTGGGGTGAATGTCCATGGCGATCATGTCCGATAGGGTCCGATGAAACCGTTCAGTCAATCCGTTGGTCTGCGGGTGGTAGCTGGAAGTGGTCTTGTGAACAGGGTTCGAGGCACGCAAAACTTGCTCAACAATAGAAGAGAGAAATACTTTGCCACGTTCGCTCAGGAGAATGCATGGAGCTATATGGTGCAAAAAGATGTGACGAAGAAAGAAATCGGCGACCTCGGTAGCAGTCACAGGTGGTATAGAAGCTGTTTCTGCGTAGCGGGTAAGGTGATCGACGGCTGTGACGATCCAGCGATTCCCATTGGATGATATAGGAAGAGCGCCATACAAGTCGATTCCAATGACTTCAAAAGGCGAGATGGGACAAGGAAGAGGTTGCATTGAGCCAGCCGAAGCAGTTGTCAGTCGTTTCCGCCGTTGGCAATGGACACAAGAGGCAACGTACTTAGCGACGGCTGAAGAGAGGCCAGGCCAAAATCAACGACTGCGTATGTTGTCGTAAGTCTTGTGATAGATAGCTTAGATGAGCGGCGCTTGGATCATCATGAAAGGCTTCCAGAACTTTACGTTGCAGAGAACGTGGGATGACGGGTACCCACTTGTTGCCATCGATGTGGTAAATGTAGGGGTATAAGGCACCACCGACAAGCTTAAATTGTGTAAGTTTTTGACGGAGTCTGGTGTTTGGAGGAGTAGTAGAGCTGGTCAAGTGGTCAACAATGGTGTGGCAGTATGGGTCGACACTTTCTTGTGAAACAAGGACGGATAGGGTGCCAGGTGATGAAATTAGCGCTGCGATTGGAGAGATGCTGTGGTTTTGGACTATTGATGGTGAGTGGCCTCCGCTGGGCAAAGGACAACGTGATAGAGCATCAGCATTTTGATGCTCCTTTCCAGATCTGTAGGGGACATCTAAATCGTACTCCTGCAAATGCAGCACCCAGCGACTGAGGCGACCTGATAAGTTTTTCAGCGATGAAAGCCAGCATCGGGCGTTTAGAAAAATTGAATTGCTGCACAAACTTGAAGGAAAACTTGTTTTCCCTTGTTTTTCTTCAAGTTTGTGCAGCAATTCAATTTTTCAAGTATGAACCAACTAGTCTGCAAAAAAGTATTGCTTCGGGTGTTTAGGTTGGTAACGACGGTAAAATGACTGCCGTGAAGATATGGTCGGAATCTTTGCACTGCCCAAACAATAGCAAGGCACTTCTGCTCGATGATAGTGTAGTTCTTTTCTGCAGCGGTAAGAACACGACTTGGGTAAGCAACGACGCGTTCGCGTGAGTTTTTGTCACGCTGCAAGAGTACTGCACCTAGACCAGGACTGCTTGCGTCGGTGTGAGGGATGGTGGGTGCGGTTGAATCGATGTTGCAAAGTACCAGATCCAACATGAGGACTTGCTTCAATGCCGTGAAAGCGCTTTCGCAGTCTTTGGACGAAACGAAGGTGACGTTCCTTGTGAGAAGTTGATGGAGCGGAGACGCAAGTTCTGTGAAGCCATGTATGAAGCGCCGGAAGTAAGAAGATAACCCAAAAAAGTTGCGCAGGTCCTTTTGACGTAGTGGATGAGGAAAATCGAGGATGGCGGCAAGCTTCAAGGGGTCCGGCCGAATTCCTTCTTTGCTGACGAGGTAGCCGAGAACCTTGATTGTCTTGCTAGCAGAAGTACATTTCTTGGCGTTAAACTGCAGACCTGCTTTTGCAAGGCATGTGAGGACTTCGTCAAGACCTTGTAGATGCTGCGATAGCATGGATGGAAACACTACTATGTCATCGAGATAACACAGACACTTTTTCGATTTCAAACCACGCAATACACCGTCTATCATGCGTTTGAAGGTGGTGGGCGCATTACAGAGTCAAAGAAGCATCACATTAAACTCGTACAACCCATCTGGCGTTGAAAAGGCGGTCTTCTCTTTATCAGACTCCGACATTGGTATCTGCCAGTAGCCTGACCTAAGGTCTAGGCTAGAAAAATACTCGGCGCCCTGATATGAATCCAGTGCGTCGTCGATCCGAGGGAGAGGATATATGTCCTTGCGCGTTATTTTGTTTAGTGCACGGTAATCAACACAGAAACGCACTGTCCCATCTTTCTTTTGAGCGAGAACAACTGGAAATGACCAGGGACTCGAGGAAGGACGTATGATGTTGGGTCATAGCATGTCTGAGATGTTTTCCTCGTTGATCTTGCGTTCTGCCTGAGACACGCAATATGGACGCCGATGTTCAATACGAGAATCGTTAGTCTGGATGCTGTGAGTAGCGCTGATAGTCATGCTCAGGGATGGTGAGTTCACGTCAAATAGAGAACGATGTCTATTCAACAGGGCGAGCAAATCTTCAGTTTGAGCAGGTGTTAAATCAGTGCTTGTGGTTGCTGACACAGGTGTGGAAGAGGCATTGAATGGCAGCTATTGTGGCTTTGGGACATAGTTGCGGTTGTTGTTCGGAAGAGTAACAATCGCAACAGGCTCACTGTCAACCGCACAAGATACTGATGAGCCATAGGGGAGCAGTACACACTTGGGGCGTTTGATTTAAGGCAGTTAGGTAGGTAGACCCATCGAAGAAGCGAATAAGCCCTGGTGTGATCACAATGCCCCTATGTGGAGTATGGCCGTAAGGGAGAATTAGTACATCACCATCCACAATGTCGGTGCAATTAACACTTATAATTTCTTCGATGCATGGCCGAAGTACATAATCTGACGTGGTGACAAGGCGGATGCGTCCATCTTGTTCAAGCGGCGAAGAGTCAGTGGCATTTAAATGCAGGAAGTGCTGATGACAAGGTATGTGTTACGTCGTTCGTCAATCCCTGCGCGTTGGCGCAAGCGAAGTAGACACAAGCTGACAAGCTGTTAGAATGGGGCGTTTATTTGCAGTGTACAGTGTAATATAAAGACTCAAAGTACAGAGGGAAAGGGAAACAAGGTAAGTGAAACAAGAGATAGAAGCTTTGGCTATAACTGTACCAAAAACTGATAAAGGTTACACTTCAGTTACAACACTTCTCCATCAATAATATTGGAGAAGCTGCACAGGTTTCCGTTGTCGTGCTGAGCGCTGGAGTTTTGTGGTCACTGTAGGTTCCCTAGACTTCTGCTTTTCCTGGCCTTGGGTTGGGGATGATGACTGCAGCTGGTGTGGTGGCTCATGGAGTTCCGCCTTTACGTTTGGCCCTGATTCGGAAGTTTCTTGCATAGTTCTCGACATAGGCATACTTTACCTTTCCCTGTCACGGTGGGGTTCAACCGAGTTTCTCGTTGTGTGAACTTGATCCACAATGGTGAATTGCGTTCCATTATCTGAAACAATGGTGTGCGGAATGCCAAACCTGCTGAACAAGCTGCGCATGCAAGTGATAGTCGAAGATGTAGTCGCCTGCTTTACTGATACGGCCTCGATCCATTTGCTGTGAGCATCTACAAGAACAAGGATCATGCTTCCATTTGTTGGCCCCGCGAAATTCACATGTATTCTTGACCAGCTTTCCTGGCATGTCATACTTTCCCTTTCCCTGTCACGGTGGGGTTCAACCGAGTTTCTCCTTGTGTGAACTTGATCCACATGTCTCCGAACAAGGCCTTCTGGCGTCTCGACTGTCACCATTCTCGCTCAGTCGGCTGACTTTACCGTGCCGGTCTTCCACTTTTCACTCTTGCCAAAGTTGCAGATGTAAACGTTTGTGTCCGGTGCCAGGGTCCACTTATCTGATTCACCTGATCCTGCAATCAAGGGGGGAAAGTACGTGTCCACACGAGATTGAATTTGGTAGCCCAGGAGAAGCTCCGAAGGAGACTTGCCCGATGCGAGGGGTGCTCTCCTGTAATTGAAGGGTAGTCTGCAAAGGAGGCAATCTTCTAATCGGCCCTGCCTTATCTTCTTCAGCCCATCGTTCACGGTTCGAACAGCTCTCTCTGCAAGGCCATTTTACCGGGGATGAAACGCAGCCGTGCGCAGGTGAGTTATGTTGTTCTTATTCATGAAATCGGCAAGGGCTTGAATGGTGAATTGCGTTCCATTATCTGAAACAACGGTGTGCGGAATGCCAAACTTGCTGAACAAGCTGCGCAGGCAAGAGATAGTCGAAGATCTGGTCGCCTGCTTTACTGATACGGCCTCGATCCATTTGCTGTGAGAATCTACAAGAACAAGGATCATGCTTCCATTTATTGGCCCCGCGAAATTTACATGTACTTGACCAGCTTTCCTGGCATGTCGGCCAGCTAACTTGGGGGGCAGATGCCGGCATTGGTCGATTTTAAATACAGCTTGTGCACCTCGCCAACATTTGTTCGATGTCGTTGTCCATTCCAGGCCACCAGAAAGCCGACCGAGTGATTGCCTTCATTGCCGATGATCCTTGATGAGTTTCGTGAAGCATGTACGACATTCTATGCTGCGCGCTCTCTGGGATGACAACCCTACGGCCCCAACAAAGCAAACGGTGGGCCGGCAAAAGCTCCAGTCTGCAGTTGAAAAAAGGGAGTAATCTTCGTTCTAGTGCTTTAGCACTTGTAGGCCACCCATTCTTTGTGTACTGCACAACCTTGGCCAGCACTTGGTCACTGGCTGTTAGCACCTGCAATTCTACTGTCGATACTGCACTTTCCTGTACGGATGCGAGGGCCAAAACGTACTCGGGTGGCTCGCTGTCCGCGGTTGACTCTGAAGTTTCTCGTGTCAACCTACTGATGGCGTCCGCGTTCAGGAGCTGCTTGCCTGGAGAATACTGCAGCTTCTAGTGGAATCCGCCCAAATACAGCGTCCAGGGCTGTATACGAGCAGCTGCCAGTGGTGGAGTTGGCTGATCCGATCTCAGCAGGCTCAGGAGCGGCTGGTGGTCTGTGACCAGTATGAATTTTTGTCCTAGAAGATAATTACGGAACTACCTTACTTCAAATACCAGGGCTAATGCTTCTCGTTCAAGTTGTGAATAATTTTGTTCTGCTTTCGACAATGTTTTCGAACAGAACGCAATAGGCTTGTTCCTGTTCCCTTTTGTGTGAAAAAGTACTTCGCCGATGCCTCTTTGCGATGCGTCACTGTTGTGTATTCGTATTGGTTCTGCGACGCCACCAGAGATGGCGCTGTGATCTATGTACCTGTTTGTCGTGTATATAAGTCCACCGTACAATAAACACCGGCAGTCGTCGGTAGCCCATGGCAGCAGTCATGTGTACGAGTTTTTCTCTTCCGTGATAGCGGCTCACCACGCCGCCATACCACATTGGCGACGAGGATGGCCACTGGTATATCTCCCCCGCCGCCGTTCCTCGAGACTCCGGGCACGCCAGCGATTCCTTGGCACCGCTGGTTCCGGTTGTTCCAGAACTTCGTGCTCGCGTCTGGCGCCGACGAGTGGCCAGCAACCCGCCGTCGCGCGCTCCTGCTTCACTGCCTGGGCCCCGAGGGCCAACGGATTTTCAACGCCTTGCCGGCACCGCCCCCACCCCAGCCGCCACTTTCAACTGAAGCCACGGTCAGCGAGTCGACGGAAAAACAGACGTCCGCGCACACCGCTGCCGCAAGCCCTCCGGACCCATACGACGTTGCGGTCGACACACTGGCACACTACTTCACCGCCACCGTCAACGTCCGAGTGGAACGTCATCATTTTCGTGAACGTCGACAGCTTTCCGGTGAGTCGGTTGCCGAATTTGCTTTGGCGCTCCGGGAACTGGCAGCCCTGTGTAATTTCGCCGCTACCGTAGATGATAACTTGTGCGAACAGTTCGTTGCCGAAGTAACTTGCCCGCAACTCAGAGAACGACTGCTCCTCGAAGGCGTCGCATTGACATTCGACCGAGCGGTAGAAATTGCCAAACTTCGCGAACAAACTCACCAAGAAGCTAAAGCCTTCGCGAACCCGATTCGCCGCATCACGCAGTGCCAACGCGGACGCAACCCGGCTAGGCATGATAGCCCCCGATATCGCTTCAACGGGTCCCGCCCCCCTAGTCAGCATCGTCGTAGCTCGTCGCGCACTCGCCAAAACTACAAGCCCAAGCCGGAAACTGCCGCTGCCGACCCCCTGCACGCCGTATCTTGTGATAACTGCAATAACTGCGGCGCAACAGGATGCGAACGGTCGCGCTGTCCCGCCCGCGGCCGCACCTGTTATGGTTGCGGACGCCGCGGACACTTCCAGAGCGTGTGTCGGAGCTCGCGTCGCGGCCAACCACGAAGGCCTGCACCAGTCCGCGAACTCCTCTGCGACGATGACGCTGAGAGCGGTCACAGTATTTTGACCATCTGCACAAACAAACGCAGAGGCCTGTATGTTGACGTCGACGTGTCGGTGATTAACCCGAAGCCGCTCACGCGCAAAGTCTCGTTTCTCATCGACACAGGCTCTGCAGTGTCAATAATTGGGGAAGGTCACTTTCGAAACCTTTTTCAAGATAAAGTACAACTCAGGACCCCCAGCATTAATCTGTTTGACTTTTCACGCAAGAAGATCCCTCTGCTTGGCCTGTTTGAAGCAACACTGTCGTACAAGGCACGAACAGCCGTCGTACCGCTTTACGTAACGCGCAGTGGGACCTCCCTTTTGGGATTAGATGCTGTGCAAGCCCTAAATTTTCAAATTTTAGGGAAGGAGCTACGTTGCCTGCACACGGTCGTTCAGCAAACGTCCGCCTCCGCAACCTCAACGTTGCCTGCAACGAGCTCAGACGCACAAGGGCGCATTCCACCGCAAGGCGCTATCGTAGAGCAACCGCAGAGTGAGCCAAAGTTTGGCATGCCTGCATTGCTGTGGGCCAGGTTTTCTCACCTGTTTACCCCAGGTTTGGGCCTTGTCAGAGGTTTTCAGCACAAGGTGAAGATGAGACAGGCAGTCTCCCCAGTCGCCCAAAAGTTGAGGCGCCTCCCATTCTCAGTACGCCAACCAGTAAGCGACCAACTACAGACCCTGCTCTCTGCCGACATCATCGAAAGGATCGATGCCTCCGAACGGGTTTCTCCCATCGTCGCAGTCCAGAAGGAAGATGGAAGCATCCGTCTTTGTGTTGACCTAAGGGAGCCAAACAAAGCCATTGTGGTCGACAACTTGCCGCTGCCTCACACTGAGGAACTGCTGCATGCTTTAAACGGAGCCCGCCACTTCTCAAAGCTAGACCTCGCCTCTGCGTACCAACAAGTCCCGCTGCACCCGGACAGCGGGGATCTCACAGCGTTTGTTACGCACGAGGGTCTTTTTCGGTTTAAAAGAGTCTGCTTTGGATTGGCGTCAGCCTCAGCAGCCTTTCAGCAGCTTATGACAAGAATCCTGCAAGGCTGTCATGGTGTTCTTTGTTACATAGACGACATCATCGTCTTCGGGAAGACTGAGAAAGAACATGCGAAGAACCTGGAAGAAGTTCTGCATCGCATTGCGAAAGCAGGTCTGAAACTTAACGAAAAATGTGTTTTCAATGCAACAGAACTCTCTTTCCTTGGACATCGCGTCAGTGCGGAAGGCATAGCACCCCTTCAAGCCAAAGTCGATGCAATCGTCCACGCCCCCACACCAGCAGAACCCGGCACACTCCGTTCATTCTTAGGACTTGTCGAATACTACGCAAAGTTCATTCCTAGGCTAGCCGAGGAAGTCGAGCCTATGCGTCGACTGCTGCGCAAAGACATACCTTTTGAGTGGGACACAGCTGCCCTAGCAAGTTTTGAGATAGTGAAGACTCTTCTGGCCTCCCACAAGGTGTTGCACATGTTTGACCCAGCTCTTCCAGTGACTGTCGCAACTGATGCTTCTGCATACGGGCTAGGTGCCGTTTTGCAGCAAGTGGACGGTCAGAAAACCCTGACCATTGCGTTTGCTTCGCGCACTCTAACCCATGCAGAAAAAAAATACTCCGCCAGCAAACGTGAAGCATTGGCTTGCGTGTGGGCATGCGAAAAGTGGCATGTTTATTTGTGGGGACGGCCTTTCACTCTTCAGACGGATCACCAGGCATTGGTAGCGTTGAGGTCTAACAATGGAACAGGGCGACGTCCCTTTCGCATTGCAAGGTGGGCTGAGCGACTTCTACGCTACAACTACACCGTCGAATACCGCAAGGGCTCGGAGAACAAGGTAGCAGACGCGCTGTCACATCTTCCAGCGGAAGGTAAGCCGGAATGCACACCTCAACCTAAAGACGACTCTACAGAAGTTGTGTTCCTAGTCGAGCCGCTGTGCATCGCTAAGGACCAGTTCGGGCAGTCCACCAGTGACGACGCCACTCTGGCAAAAGTCAAGGAATACGTTACTTCGTCATGGCCTCCGCACAAGCTCGTCCCAAGCCATCTGCTGCCGTACTTCATGCTACGCAACGAGTTGTCAGTGGTAAACAACTTACTTCTTCGTGGGGAGCGACTTGTAGTTCCACAGTCCCTTGCGCATCAGGTAATCTCCACAGCGCATGAAGCTCATCCCGGCATCGTCAGGACGAAAGCGTGACTTCGAGAACGGTTTTGGTGGCCGCGTATGGACCGGCAAACAGAAGTCGCAATACAAAACTGCAGCGTCTGTCAGAAGGTCGAGAAGAGTGCGAAAACGGCACCTGCTCCACTGCAACCTGTTCCATTTCCAGAGCGCCCTTGGCAAAAAGTCGCCATAGACATTGTTGGCCCTCTGGAAAGAGCTCCTCAAGATTGTAGGTTCGCCATTACACTGGTTGACTATTTTTCTAAGTGGCCCGAAGTACAATTCTCCAACGAGGTATCTACAAGAACGATCACCAACTTCTTGCTGTCAATTTTTTCTCGAGAGGGATACCCTGACGAGACAGTCACTGACAACGGGCCCCAATTTTCTTCACGAGAATTTTCGCAATTCTTGGATGAGCGTGGTATCCGACTGACACATTCTTCGGTGTATTACCCTCAAGCCAACGGACTTGTCGAAAGGTTTAATTGTGTTTTTAAGGACTTTGTACAGGTTGCTGCGTTAGAACATGGCCCTCTTCAACAAGCAACACTGGAGTACTTGGGTGTTTACCGGTGCGCACCTCACGCAACCACGGGAGTAGCACCAGCCTTGTTCCTACATGGACGACTGCCCCGAACACGACTGGACATCATTGGGCACCCATCCCCATCATTCTTTCATTCTTCACAGACCCTGCCAAAGAACTTGGCCAGCTTCGGAAGAGAGTCACACAGAAGCAAAAATACAGCTAGATTTACACAGACTTCCGCCGTGCAGCCAAGAAACCAAACATAGCAGTTGGAGACATGGTCCGTGTGAAGAAGCCGGCAGTCTCTTTTAAAGGAGACCTCTCGTTCAGTCGTTCTCGGAAGGTGGTGGAACAACGAGGGCCAGCCTCTTTCTGCCTAGACGATGGGCGAACATGGAACTCTTCCGAGTTGAGCAAGGTTCCTGCACAGGCTGCTCAGCCTCACCCAGTCATCCAAACGCCAGATGTTCACGCTCACCCAGCACAGCCTTCAAGTCCGTCACCTGTGCCTTGTGACAGTGGGCAATCAGCAGTGCCACTCACCACGCCGCAATACCACAGTCACACTCTAGTTTCAGCGGCTGTGAAGGGTCGTAGTGCACTTACACCCGTGCCTGCAGCAAACACTGTTTTGTTTTGTCAAACATGGTTTGTTGTTCTTCTGTCCAGTCCCAACGTCTGTCTTTTTCCAGTAGCCGATTCAATGGAAAAAGCAGAGACGATATGTTCGGCAAAAACTGAGTAGAAACCGATCACGCCAAGAAACGAACGAAGCTCGGCTACATTTTTCGGGCTGGGAGCATCAACGATTGCTTCGATATTTTCTTCTATTGGGTGCTGCCCTTGCTGATCGATTCGATGGCCAAGATAGCTAACAGACGTCTGCCAAAATTTGCATCTATCAAGGCGTAGTTTAACACCACTCTCCCGAAAACGTTGCAGAACGACTTTGAGCACGTCGTCCCTTCCTGCTTTTTCGGACACCGAGACATCGTCCAGATAAGCTTGTGCGCCCGGTAAGCCCTGCAGAACAGTTTCCATCCTACATTGAAAAATTGGCTGGCGCAGAGGCAATGCCGAAAGGTAATCTATTGTAGGAAAAAAGACCTTTGTGCGTGTTAATTATGCACAACTGGCGCGATTCATAATCCAGCGGAAGTTGGTTATATGCATCCCTTAGATCTAGTGTACTTAAATGCTTGCCGCCGTTTAAGGACGTGAACATGTCATTGATTACTGGCAATGGGTATTGTTCCAGCTCACATGCCGCATTCAAGGTGACCTTAAAGTTGCCACAAATCATAACGGTGCCGTTCTTCTTAAGCACTGGTACAATGGGCGTAGCCGATTCGGAATATGGCACCGGTGACAAAATGCTTAGTGCCACCAGCTTATCAAGCTCTTCAGAAACTTTGTCGCGTAGCGCGAAAAGAATAGAGCGGGCCTTAAAGAACTTGGGTGTGACTCCCTCCTTCAGCTGAACGTGCGCCGCAGGTCCTTTGATGAGGCCTAGTTCTGAGCTGAAGACGTCTGCAAGAAATTATATCCGAAAGGACCTGTGTGTTCATAGACGGCTGTGCAGTTGGCGGCTCAGCTGAGAGGCTGAGAACAGGGGAGCCTGTGTTGCTCAGAAGAAAAATTAGGTCTCGGCCACATGAACTTGGACCGCAGCAATCTAGCACTACCAAAGGGCATTCTACGGTTGCACCGACGTACAATACCGGCAACAGGATCTCTTCAAGGACTGGCGATTTTCCCAAATAGCATGACAGCTTTATGCGAAATGGCTTCAGCGGAGGCCAAGCGTTCTTGTGCTGCTCAAAAACCTGACGTGACACGACGCAGACCGGTGAACCAGTGTCAATAAGCATTAATACGTCAACACCTCCCCACGTGAAGTTGCGCCATATTGGGGGCTTCACAGTTTTCTCCCACGTCGATCTTAACGCCCAAATGTGCAGGCTATCATCAACGCCTTCATCTGTTTCCCCTTCGTTAACAGCCAGGACTCGACCGCATGTTTCCGAAGGTGCTTTTTGAGTTTGAGACTGCGGTTTGATCATTCTGGCATTTTCGAGCTAGATGACCGCGTCCACCGCAACGATAACGCGTGTTATTTGAACGGCAGGCATTACTGTTGTCGGCAGAGAGCGCGACAACTTCGGCATACGTGGGCGTCTGGCGTACGCAGGGACCATGGGAATACGTCAGACGCGATGCGGACGCGATCTCTTGTTTATATCGGTTCTCGCAAGGTACCTTTGCAGAAAGGAGAGTAACTTCCACTGCGCAGGAAGAGCAGCGTCCGTAAAGCTCTTCACGAATGATGTCGCGAATAAGCGCAGGCAAGTCGAGGGGTGCAGGCAAACGAATGTCGGTGGCATCGTAGCAGAGGCGAAGAGACTGAAGCTAATGAAGTCGCTGACAGATGGTTATCACGTCCTGGGTGGTGGCAGGATTTTTTATGGCGAGGGCGTTAAAGGCGACGGTGTTGATGCCTTTAATAATGTGGCGTATTTGGTCGTTCTGAGACATGATGGAGTCAACACGCTTGCACAGTGCAAGGACATCCTCAATATTTGAGGTGCAAGATTCACCGCCAGCTGCGTGCGTTCAGCGAGCTTCTTCTTTGTAGCCTCAGGGCGAACTGTAGGGGCACAGAAAATTTGACGAAGTTGCTGCTCGAAAGTGTCCCAGTCTGGAAGATCCGGGTGGTGGTTCCAGAACCAAGTTTCGGCAACATCGGACAAGTAAAATGGAACGCTGCGCAACTTCTGTGGATTGTCCCACCTATTCAAATCGCTGACGAGGTCGTAGTTGTTGATCCAGTCTTCTACATCATCGCCTCGGAGACCAAAAAACAGGTGGATCACGCAGGCAAATGTTGTTGGGCAAAGGGGGTGTCGATGGCTACAGTAGGACGGCGACGTTGGATGGGCCAGGGTTTTCTTGGGCCGCCATGGCAGGGGGTTGTATGTGACGACCCGAGCGGAGCTTTAGTGAGAACGGGTGAGAGGACTTGGGGGAGCGAAAAGCATCGTCCACCACTTGTGAGGAACCGGTTTATTCAGCCAGGCTCGAGCTAAAAATCACACTGTTGATGATATTTACAGATGATGAAGATGTACAGGTGATGATGATATCTAAAGAGAATAAAGAGTCATTCGCTTGCCGCACTCAGAATATCATTGTTGAAATTAAGGGGAGACGCGGGTCGAAAAGTCGCGGTTTTTCGGAAAATTTTTGCTTTTTTTTCCGGCTGTATTGGCATCCTTGGACTATAATCTATTACTTCTAAAAATATCAAGCTGAAATTCGCACGAGAAATTATCAAAAAATGCTTCCAAGTGGGCAGCGGTGACGCGTGAAATGCGCGAAAGTCGCGAAAAACAGCGAAGTTCGCGTCGTCCTGTCGCGAAAACGGCGCGTTGGCCGCCATTTGCAATCGTGCACGCATGCTGCGAAGGCCGTATCCTTCATAATCCACTAGTAGCCAGTCTCGTGCCTTCACGCAGAATAAACAAAAAACGAGAAAAACAACGCGTACGTCACGCGTTCTGAATATCGCGGCACACAGCGCGAGGCCGCCATTGGACGGCGGTGTGCTCCACGCTCCTCCCCCTCCTATCTCTCCGGCAAAAGAGCGAAGCCTCGGACGTCGCGATCGAGTTTTTCTTCGTTTCTCTGCATTTTTGCGTCATGGCAAGCCCGAAGAAGTGCAGTTCAGATAGTCGAAAGTTCAGAACTCGCCACAAGTATCGAGGGAAACGGCGTCGGACGCTTCGCAAAGCGACAGCGAACGACGATGTCGCCCCCGACCAACGCCCCGACGCTCCGACTTCGGATAGGCCTAACAACGTCACCAAACCCTGCGACAGTGGTTGTGAAATAGCCGCTGCCGTGGAATTCGTCAGTGCATCCCAAAGGAAGATTGGATTCTTCGAGAGTGAACGTAGACCGGTAGATGCTGCTACTGCGAACATGCTGCTTTGCGAAATCGATGCGCTGACGGCACTTGTGGCGGGTGCGCAATGCCCAACCTGCCGCGAACGGAAGCTCGGCGTGCGAGAGGCAGCTGGAAAGCGCAAAGGACTTTCGGCATTCCTCGAACTGTGCTGTCAAAATTCTGATTGCCCTGAATCTGCACTTTCGTTCACGCACACGTCGAGACGTACTGCTTCGGCCGGGGACCAAGGAACGAGCGCTCGTTTTGACAGCGGCAGCTCGCGTGACAGCTTTGCTGTAAACGTGAAGGCAGTTCTGCTGTGAAGGCAGTTCTGTTTAGCTGCTATAATTATTGAGTTATGCCATAAACAATAGCAAAAAGTTACATTTTTTGCGGGCACTCTTTTATGTACTAAACTTTCAGTAAAAGCACTGTGTCTGATCTTATTTGACTCTTGGTAGATTGAAAAGTGCAAATATCTATATAGATATGTCACAGAAATATTGGAACCAAGAAAAAAAATTGTATTGAATGACTTATTATTTTCAATCTCTC